TGGTCCATTTGAAATCGGTTTGCCTTCCTCCTTCTTTAAGGAGCTTGGCTTCTTCTTCTGTACACCTGATGGCACTGAAGAGGCTGACTCAGGGTGAAAAAGATCAATGTTTCCACGAAAGGGCCTTGCACGATCAATGTCACTTCTGACAATGTCATCTGGGATCACGTAGTCCTCCTTGATCTTGTAGATGGTCTTGCCCTTCCAGAACTCTTCACTCTGTTCAGAAAACCTCTTCTTCTCAGTGCGCCAGTTGTCCTTGTGAAGAACCTTCTTCTTGCTCTTCTGGAATTCCATGTGAGTTTCTCTCTCATCAAGAAGTTGATCTTTTGGAATTGGAGTTTTCTCTGATCGAGTCATCTCATGTAAGTTCATTCTCTTGTCCTTGTGGTGCCTGATGAGTTCACGACGTAGTGGATCAACCTGCCAGTAGTCACCAGTCACCAAAGCTTCTCCTTCATGATCATCTTGTTTGACAGCAATCTGGCTGTACTCAAAGTGATCGTGTTGTGAATAGGAAACTTTTGACTTGTGGAGTCTTGAAATGAACTTTGCTCATGTACCATGCTACATCTTGTAGGTCGAGAATGAGATGAGTACTAATGGCTGTCCTCAAAACCATTTTTCTCATGCCAATACGTGCACAGGACAAATAAGCCTTCTCTGGAGTAAGTTCAAATTGAAATCCAAGGTTTCTCATCTGTGGAAGTGACATCAACAATGGGACATCACCTTCTTCGACAATGTCGAATTCTGTAAACTGAGTGTTCCATCCATGATCATACATGAATATCACGAGCTTCCCAGTACATTTTGATTGTTGTGAGTTTGCAAAGAAGAATCTTGAACTTGTTGGCTGAATTTCATACCAGAGTCCACTGTTGGGATGTGAGTCAACATATCTGCAAAATGCTTCAACTGCTCGTCGAGAGCCCATAGCTCTTGTGCATCCAAGATCCATTATACACACAGTTGGTGGTGCAGAATTCTCTGTGTGAAAAGCTAGTCCATTCTCACATGCCAGATCAGTTTGTACAGTATGAAATGAAAAAGCACTCTGCTGTGATGGTTCCTCTATCTCTGTAAAGCATCCATGTGAAAACAATGATGTGCCTTCTGCCAATGGCTTCCATGAAGCCTCACCTTCTTGAAGACCAACTTGCCTGGGCACTACAGCTGGACGTTGTTGTACACCTTGTCGTAGTGCACCAACTTCTCCAACCAGAACAGGGAATCTCTTCATTTCTCTCCTGTTTTGATGTGCTCTTGCATCACGTTGGTTCTGTCCTCCACGACGAGTACGTCGTTGTTCATCTGGTGCTGCATACGTGGATGTCAAAACATCAACACGAGCTGGCTCTGTCTCTGCAACATCAACACGTGCCGGTTCAGTTGTTCCAAATGAAAAGAAACCATGACCAGAACTTGAAGCTGCAGAAGAATAATGAGCTTGTTGAGTTGGTTGATTCTGTATGGCAGGAGCTGATGTGGTCTGAGGGTGAACATAGTTCGACTTGCCTTTTCCATCTCCTGGCTTTCCTCCTTTTCCATCATCATCCTTGCCTTTCTTGCCTTTCTTTCCTTTTCCTTTTCCTTTTCCTTTCCTCTGGAAATATCCATACTCATCCATGTAGTATGAATCATCATAGGCCCAATAGCCTTCATTCCAGGTTTGATCATCGGCCCAATAGCCGTCATAGTTTTCATTCCATTCATCATCTTGCCATTCATCTTCATAACCTTCTTCACTCACCATGTGAGAGCGGCCTTTCTTTCTTCCTTTTCCTCGGCCTTTTCCTTTTCTTGATCTGAAGAATCTTCGTCCTCCTCTGCCTTTTCCTTTTCCTTTTCTCTTTCCTTTACCTTTGCCTCGTCTGATGTATTTGCCTTGGAACCTTCTCTGATACCATGTGAAGTTGGCGTCATCATAACCCAGAAAACATCTTCTAAAGCATCCAGGAATCCTTCTGCGCCGTCTTCTTCATCTTCGGCCCAATAGCCGTCGGTTCCTTCTAATTCACCTTCATCCAGTACGAGGAAAGATCTTCTCTGTGCCATGCCAGAGGGTTGCATCAATGGATTGTCAACTGCTGTTTTGGTAGTGCAAAACATTTCCAAAAACAGGTCACGTAGTTCTTGAATGTTGTATCGATCGAGGGTTCGTCCACGATGTGTCATGATACTTGTGAGTGTGTTTCTCTGATCTTGACTCAGGTCAGCTAGACTTACAAAAATCAATGCTAGCAAATTTTCACCCAGTGGGAATGCTTGTCGCTGTGCTTCTCTACGATTTTCCTGAAATTGTCTGAATGCCGCTAGTGCCAGTTCATCTGTCCAAGGAACAGCTACATGGGGTGTTCCTGAGGCTGCTGCTACTTCAGCTCTCTCTTGTTGATCTCGTTCATGTTCTTGACGTCGTTGTTGAACAAACAGGATTGCTTCAGGACTAGTCACTGTTACTTCTGGAAGTAAATCCATCCAAGACTCAATAAGTCTATTACCAGTGAGTTGAAATCTAGTCATCCACTTCTGAAGATCCATTGTTCCTCTGTTGAACTTCATGAACTGCATGAAACGGTATAAGAACACGTTCTGGGCACCTTTGATGAAATGAGGTCGTAGAAATCTTTTGAAATAAGCCACTCCTTCATAGGGATCCCTGAGTAATTCTCTATCCAATAGCCTCTTGTATTGTTGAGCATCTCCTTCCAGTCTGTTGCGCAATGCTGGACCACGTTTCTCTGGTTCTAACTCCGTAATGTCACACCAGTCATCAATTGCATCCTCAAAAGCAAAGAAGCTGGTTCGCCCATCATAGGCTGGAGCAACCTTTGTGGTCATCTGTTGCGTCATATGAATCTGTGTATGCTGGGGTGCTCTTCTCATTGCATAAGAGTCATATTGGTTCCATTCATTTGCATCGACAATGTCGAAGTCATCATCATCATAGCCATGGCTTGCCATTTCTTGGGCTCTACCTGGAGCTCACCCTCAATGAGGGATCACAGCTCCGCTACCACTTGAAGAGGGGCCCTAGCGTCTACTTCAAGATCAGCTAAGGCGTCTTCCCCAATGACAGCACTTGTTTTACTCAGCCTGTTGCCGGTCAGTGCTTGTCTACAGGGTTACTCTATATACCTCTTTCTTGAGCCTTGAAGGGCGCATATAAATGTGCTCAATACTCATGCATGTACCTATGTAGGTATTAGGTCGAAACAAAAACAAGGGCGCAGCGCCTCCCCCCGCAATGCGTACCAAGAAAGAAGTACATAGGCACAAGCCGCGATGGATATCAATCAAGATAAAATGAACCCAAATAAACAACGATGATGCTTGTGAAAAAAAAGAATAGTAGGTAGCAAGGGGAGCCGGCTAAAAAATAAAAGCGGGTGGGGGTGCAGGGGGGAGGGCGCAGCGCCCTCCCCCCGCAATGCGTACCAAGAAAGAAGTACATAGGCACAAGTCGCGATGGATATCAATCAAGATTAAATGAATCCAAATAAACAACGATGATGCTTGTGAAAAAAAAGAATAGTAGGTAGCAAGGGGAGCCGGCTAAAAAATAAAAGCGGGTGGGGGGGTCAAGAGAAGGAAGCTTTCCTTTCATTTTTCAAGAGAAGGTTACTTCTTTCTTTCTTTCTTTCTTTCTTTCTTTCTTTCTTCCTTCCTTCCTTCCTTCCTTCCTTCCTTCCTTTTTTTTCTTTCTTTCTTTCTTTCTTTCTTTCTTTCTTTCTTTCCTGTCCTGATTTTTTTTGTTTTTTTTGATCCATGGGTTTTGCCTTCATTTCGTGATAGTTTCCTTGTGTTTTCTCATGTTTTCTGGATTTTGTTTTTTTTTGATCCCTATTTGTTTTTTTTTGATCCTTATTTGTTTTTTTTTTGATCCTTATTTGTTTTTTTTTTGATCCCTCTCCCGCAGAACACTGCTTACGCTAGACCTTACGCTATGCTTAGGCGACCACGATTTTGACTTACGCGGCAGGCATGTACATAAAATGACTTACGCGAAGGGTACGCTGACAGGTTTGATTTAAACCACATAGGAACTGCTTACGCCAGAAGGCATGATAGTGCTTGCGCGTGAGCTTACGCATGGTGTTTTGCAAAAGCGGCTTATGCCACTTTACGAAACCCTGAGGTTTTGCTTGTATTCAGGGGGGGACAAAGAAACGGTCGCTGCATCTATCTGCGTCAAAAATGTCAAGAGTTCAAAATCTCAGTGGTAAACAAAACGGACCAAGTGATCACAGGCCGCGGAAGTCTGTCCGAGTCTGTCCCCACCTCATGCAAGCCCTTCTGGTTGCGCAAGGGCTGGCCTTCCAGCAGTGCAGGTTCTCTCAGAATTCTCAGCGAACCAATTGCTGTTCGATGGATGATGAATTCTGATGGCATTTTGCACTTTTCATCAAGATCTTCAACTCGCACCTAGGATGGGTGCTGCGCAGAAGTTCAGGCGGTTGCGGAAGGACACCATCTGCACAATGATCAAAATGAACAGTGTTGCCACAGTGAACCTTCAAAGAACAAGAAATGACAAAGTCCGTAAATCAAGGGACTGGCAGCATACCAGTACATAGTACTACAACAGCTGGCATACCTCCTTCAGTGAAACTTGAGACGCACCAAGCCTGAAAGATGTATATAGCACAAACAGCAGGATGCAACAGGTCGCAACTTCATGTAAAATGTATGCAAGGACAAGCGGATTCCCACGTTGCTGTGCTCCTCACCTAGAGAAGAATGACACTGGGGGTAGGGTTTTATATGGTTTTATCTCTTCAATATCTTGCATCCGTGCCTCGTTGGTGTCTACCGTGGTGCCCTCTTTGAAATACACCTCCATAGTGCAACGACAAAGCAACTGTGAGGTCCGGTACCAAACAAGAGCCATGCGTGGAGAACATTGGATCACCATGTTCTATATGTATCTATATTTTGTATTATTTTGCAATATGAATATGTTATAATATATTATCATGCTTTCAAAACGCTTCAGTTGATCAAGAAGTCTCAAAGGCTACTCGTATCATCTCGTATCCAGCTTCCAACAAATTCGCAGATGCAGCCTCGCCAGAGTCCATGAAACTCTGACCCTTGGCCACGGCAGGGTCCAAGTCGGTATAGGACACCAAATCCTCCAGTGGCAGTGATGGCACATCCCACTCTTTGAACTTTGGCACATGGGTTTGTCTGAAAGTCCCTATGAAAATTGCCGTAAGAATATCCTGTATCATGGCAATCGTTTTGGACAAACCCGCCCAAACAACAACAGAATTTCAACTCATCCGTCCTGATAAGTGTAGAAACTGATCATGTGGTGGCCATAGTTTTGGTCGCCGGCCCAAAGGCCACCAAAGCAAGCCAGCCACAAACAAGCACTCAATGCTATCCATCGTCTGCATGGAACTTGCCGCCTGACAGGACAGTGGGACCCCAATGGGAGCTGTGGGTCACCGCTCTAGGTCCCTTGGTCCGTTGGTCCCTTGGTCCCCAGCCTAAACATCAGCAGCGTAACCTGAGCAACAAGAAACAAGAGGTTTGAACCTTTGCTGATCCGCTATGCTCAACATATCTCAACCTGATGCTTTGGAATGCGTCAACTGAGGCCCCAGGCCCAGGTGCTGCCAACACACACAGCAACTCCCAGGAAGGCCAGACACATCGCCAGGCGCCAGTCTCGGTACCTCCAACGGCCAAAGCTCCAGTAGTAGATGTGGCCTTGGATCCAAAGGCTGTGTCAGCCCTGCTGTGAGCACCAACATCAGATGGTGGAACTTTGTGTGTGTATACAGTATATATATATATACACATATACTTAACTATAATATATGAGTGCTTCAATCATTTCTGAAGCTCGAAGACATTTATTCAGAGCTCTTGTGCAATCAACAGTCGGCAAGAGGTGTGTCCCTCAATGCACTTCGGACTGCCAATTTTTGTCAACGTCTGTCGGTTGTCACCGCCAGAGCCACGGCGAGCGACTTGCCAAACCGCTGGAAAAGATGTGAGTGCCGCTGACCAACTTTTTCAATATGACCACCATTTCTTTTTTAGTTCTCGTTCATCACTCATCCTTCTCAAGTAAACAAATCCAAAAAGGAGCTATGGTCAGCGTACAGCTCTTCTCCGGGCAAACAGCTCTGTGGCTTTGGATGCCAAAAAACGCCAACGGCCCTTTCCTTTCCCTTCCCTTCCCTTCCGGGTTCTTGAGGGAGAAGTTGTCTTCAACCCAAAGATCTACGGGTCGTATTGCTTCCCACCGCAAACCCCCTTTCCGGTATGATCCTCACCACTGAGAAGACAGGAAAGAAGTTTTTGGCAGCACAAGTGATTGGAAAATGTCCTTGTGAAACATGGTGATTTGCTCACACTTAAAGAAATTTCACCCAAGCATCGAGAAAGCCATCGGAGCCATACCATTGGTATGACCTCAAAGACATTGCAAGCTTTTGCTGGGCACTGCAATTAACCCATAGCACCAACGTGTCATCAGTAGTTACAGTAGTTTCCTGTACCCCCTACGGCTACCACGACGGCAGCCTATGCCACTTGAACCAAGCAGCTTTGGCAAACGGATGCTCTCGCCGGGCGTTGGCACAAAGTCTGCCTCAATGATCCGTTGAAGCCCTGTACTGAGGGCTTCGTTGACAGTGGATCCATAAAAATGGATGGAAATGGAACATACCTGAAATGACTTGGGTTGCATGCTTGGCTGATCAAGCGGAAGCTCCTCGTGCCAATTGCATCAGAGACATGATGCAGGTACCAGTTCCATCCAAGACATCATACAGGTATATAATCATGTTCGGCCACTCGGCTACCTATGTCTCACTGGACCATTGTGCCAAGTAGCATGATTGCAATCGTCCAAGACCTTATCGGCTTCACAAGCAGCTGTGTAGAGGTTCCATTCAGCCCTCTTTTCCGGTCCTTCTCTTTGTCACACTATCACCATCTATGGGCATCAAGGCTGTGGGAGCAAAGTTTCAGCATCTCAAAAACGTTCTCATCTGAAATTGGCCAGACAAGGTACGACGCTGCCACAGCCTCACAAGGTGCTTGTTTGCAGAATTCACCCCCATATTGCGAATAGAATCATACACACGTCTATTCATCCATGGCACTTCCATCTCAAAACTACAGAGGTTGACCCCGAAATCCTCCAATGCTTCGTATGTGGAAAAACAAACTCCGTCTCTCCATATGTTTCGGCTGGTGCTCTGCAAGCTCCCATATTGAAGCAACAAAGCTGACAAGAAAACATGTCTAACTGCCCTTAAATCAGGCCCTTCCCCCTTGGGTGCATAAAGCTATGTGGCTATGTGATCTTGTGTAGAAAAGGGTGACATGCTCACAAGCCTGCTTGTCGTTGTCTGAACCAACTATCTACATCTAAACGTATCTGGACTAGCATTTTGCTTGCCTACTCTTGATGATCGACCTCAACAACAGTGGAAATCGCGCCAGACAGTCTCAGACAGTGTTGGAATATCATGGATATACATGTAAATTGTAAATATGTATGCAATATATATATATATATCATATATATATATCATATATATATCATATATATATATATATTATTATATATATATAGAGAGAGAGAGAGTGAAGGTGTTCACCAAGAACAGCAGGACCAGCATAGCTCACCTTCCATCAGGGCGGTGTCCACGGGTATTAGGCCATCACCCTCAACTCCAAAGGTGCTCCCAGAGAGTGGCAGGTAGGATGCCAGGGCCACCACCTGATGGTGTGGTTGGGGGTCAGCTGAAGGGTTGGTGCCATGTTAACCCAAACCATGTTAAACCGGCTACTCTTTGGGAGGCACTTCTGTTAAGACATGCTCCCCATACAAAACAACATCATGCACCGGAATTCACCTCCATCCAAGAAACCAAGAATGCAGGTTGGTGCAACTGCTCAATTCGAAATTCGGGCTGCTGTGCCTCTTCCAAGAGAGTGCTGCGGTTTTGCGTCTGGTTCCAAACCTTCTCACCTAATGGCATTCAGCCGTGCAAAGCTTCCCTACACAGATCGGGGTTGCCATTACTGCTCCGTGACTCCTTTCTGCCAGACATTTATCGTGACGCTTGGTGATCAGAGTCCCGACAGGGGTCTCAGCCCAGATAAAGGTTCCGTGTGGAGGTTCCGCTGCGGGGTTCTGGGGTGGTTACGGGACGTTCTGGAGATTGGGGCAGTGGTTCCAGTTGGGTTCTGGGTGGTTCCAGGTGGTTCCAGGTGGTTCCAGGTTCTGGGTCAGTTCCGGCTCCAATCTACACAAAGCACTGCTTCACTCAGACAGTTGCGCACTGGCTCATGTCACAATTTCCTACGAGTATGATGCCTTTGCTGTTGGGGATACCACCCTTTGTATGTTCTTTGAGATCAACTGCATGAATTACCAAGCAAGGACCCTTGCAGCATTTTGAAAGTGCTGCAAGCTGTTTGATATCAGGTCTGGGCCAACCCAGTGATCTCACTTTTCATTCCGAACATCCAGGGTCCCTGCCAAGACCATCCATCATCTCATCCATCGAGGGTGGCGTTTTAGTTCCGCAGCCAGCAACACAGGTCACGACTGAGGAGTTCAAAGGATAGCCTGGCCACTGGCAGCCACTGGCAGCCACTGTCAGCTTGGGCGATACATGATCTGCCGGCTGTTGAAGCTCAGATGATGTGTCGCTCCAATGAGAACAACATCTCCTCTATACCTCTGGGAATCTCACATGTCAATGGAAGATTCCCCCTTTCATAGATGATCTGCCGTTGAAAATTGGGATTGTCCCTCGCCACTTTGGACTACCAGACTACCAGAAGGCAAATGTTGAGCAAGAAACACGTGCTGGTTCGAATGCCCTTGCCTGCTGGAAATTTTTCGTTGATGTATGTGAGAAGGCCACCTGGCAGTGCTTCTTTTTTGGACACGCAAGTGGAAGCGCTGAGTTACTGCCAAGATCAACACTATGCTTGGAAAATAAGCCTCATGCCACGTCACAAGTTTTCAGGATTTCACATATTCCTGTGGCTCATGTTACTCATGTTATCAGCACCAAAGCAACTTCCAGAGTCCAAACACGGCCCGAACACAGGACAGGCTGACGTGTCTGGTCCAAGATCGCTACTGGTGAATCCTCCGGCGGCGGTTGGTGGGGTGTGCCCAGCCTAAGTGCGAAAACATCTGCGAAGAGTTCGAGAGCTCTGTTCACCACTGAGTAGCCAAACGTCACGAGCGAGCGCACGCGTTGTTGCGCCACATCTGGACCAAGGACCTCACAACAAAAACATGTGTATATATATATATACAAATATATATATATATATAGATGCACACATTTATATATATACACACATACATATATATATATATATATATATACATATATATATATATTTACATATATACATATATACATATATACATATATACATATATACATATATATATACATATATACATATATACATATATATATACATATATATATACATATTATTGTATGTATTTATACATATATATATATATATATATGCTACCCCCTATATACCTACCTTTTTGGTAGTGTGTGGTCACAGGTAAGGCAGTGAGAAACAGAACAAAGTATGAAATATGAATATGTAGGAAGCATATGACAGGCATGACACAGTTTGTGTAGACATAGATGTCTGCAGAATGTGCGAGGATCCGCACGTCCCAGGAAACTATGAAAGACGCGGAGGCATAAGCAGAATTTCCACCAGATGCCATACTTTGGGAAGATACAAATGAATGCAGACTGTGCGAGGATCCGCACGTCCCAGGAAACTATGAACCTGGTGACGACGTGGAGGGATATGCAGAATTTCAACCAGATGCCATATTTTGGGAAGATACAAATAAATGCAGACTGTGCGAGGATCCGCACGTCCCAGGAAACTATGAACCTGGTGACGACGTGGAGGGATATGCAGAATTTCAACCAGATGCCATATTTTGGGAAGATACAGATGAATGCAGACTGTGCGAGGATCCGCACGTCCCAGGAAACCATGAACCTGGTGACAACGTGGAGCGATATGCAGAATTTCAACCAGATGCCATACTGTGGGAAGATACAAATGAATGCCATGAGTGTGGGGTATGCAATAGACATGGATGAAAGTATTGGTCAAGATATACATATGGACAGTGACACGCTGCAGACGATCATTTTGCCTATACCGCAGGATTTCAAGTTCTTCAGCTGGTGAACTTTGTCATTGCCCAGCGACAAAGCACCCCTGTGTGCATCCACAGATCGTGACCCATGTGCCGGTACTGATACTGGGCAGATCGCAATTGCGCACACAAATTGGCAGAACCAACTTTGGCATGCTGATTGATCTGAACGCGCTCTTTCAGAAATTTCCATGCCCGATCTCAATCTGGGTACCAGATTTCACCACAACAGTCTTCCCCATCTTGGGGCAGGTGTGCTTGACAAGCCGAACATAAGCAGGCGCTTGCCATTTAAATTTGCCTCTCACTTTGACGCGTTTTTTTCCATGGGTCACCTTGTCATGAAGCATTCCACGCACCTTGGCTTTACATGACTTTGCAGCATCGGTGTGTAGGATCACTTGTCTGTCCTTCAGATGCTGACCCCTTGGAACTAAGAAGTAAGAAGTAAGAAGTAAGGCTCTCAGAAAACTTCATGGTTCCAAGGACATTGATTCAAACTTCAAAGGCCCAAGGGTTGGAACCAAGAAGTTTTATGAGAGCCTTACTTCTTACTTCTTAGTTCCCAGGGCCTGGGAACCAAGAAGTTTTCTGAGAGCCTTACTTCTTACTTCTTACTTCTTGGTTCTGGTCGTTTGCAACCGTTTGCAAACGCTTCAGAATTCAAAATTGTCCTAAGGTTATGTAATGTAGACTCAGCTTGTCTATGGTTCTTCTTGTCTATGGTTCTTGGACGATGGGTGCTATGGCATCTTACTATAACTTGAAAAAACAGGTGTAAAAAATAGTATTGCAATATATTAAAAAAAGACTGCAAATAGCGATTAAAATCACAACTTGGTAGGTACATAGGGGGGGTACCATATATATATATATATGCATTAACCGTCGTTCAAACCCAAAAATGAAATCACCTTGTCAGATCTTCTCCTCAACAGGGATGGAGATCAAGGGTCAATCTGTCATTTCCGATTGTTAAATGGACCCAGATTGAAAATATGTCACTATGGGAATAACATATGGCAACTTGCTATACAAATAGGGCTGTGGAAGCGAACGAAATTGTATAGACAGCTAAAGATATCATTGGACATCGCAGGAAGTGGACGAGGGACAGTTGATTTGAGCAACTACTACAACAAGGCTAAAACCGATGGACTGCTTAGTCCTCTTTATGACAGCGGTGAAGTTGACAATTTCTTCAATGGAATATTGAACGTGACAAATGCACAAGACTTCACAGGAACTTTGACAACTGACTGACTTGCTACAAATCAGCTTGACTGCAGAAACTGTGCCGAAAACACATCGACTGTAATGCTTTTGACACAAGCACTGCCATACAAAGTACAGTCTTCAGACTCATTGGCACTACCTACATACCATTGAACCGTCAGGCGCATGTTCAACATACCAAGAGTTGTATCAACGCAACCCTTAGCAGTGGAAACTTCTTGAACTCTGTGATGGGAGAAGCAACGGGACAATGGAATTTTATGTCGGAGACCCTCTGTTTCAACCAACCTCGTGATGATTCGAAAAACGATGAAAGGCAGTAGAACAATTCCGCGGGTGAATGGTAGTGCTGTGCTGGTTTTGAACTGACAGTACGTAGTCCACTGCACAGTCAAAGCTTATGGGCCCAAAGAAAAACTAATCTATGGTAGAAAATGGTGGAAATAACAAATACATTACCCGTCCAAACGGAACGTTTTTCATCAATCATTGCGACAATGATGTTGTAGTGCAAACACAAGCTGCTTATTCGAACTGGGTGAGTTTGGCTTCAGGACAACAGGTACCAGTAGCGCCGCACAAGGCGGTGGCGGAAGCTTCAAAGATAGGACACGATAGGAGAGTGAGTTGTTGTTAAACATGGATGGCAGAGCGAACCCACTGATGGACCGAAAGGTGGTTGGGGTTGTGTTTTTTGGAGTGGTTGCAGTCGTTGCAGTGGTTGCGGTGGTCACCTCACCCACAACTCCTGGATGAAGTGTGGCGTAGCGGTAGTTGTAGTTGCAGTTGTAGTGTAATGTACTGGAGTTGTAGTTGTAGTTGTAGCGTAGTGTAGGCGTAGGTGTAGTTGCAATTGCAGTTGTAGTTGTGGTGTGTTGTAACTGATGTAGTGTAATGTAATGTAGTGTAATGTAGAGTAGTGTAATGTAGTGTAGTGTACTGTAGTGTAGTATAGTGTAGCGTAGTCTAGTGTAGTCTAGTGTAGTCTAGTGTAGTGTAGTGTAAAGTAGTGTAGTTGTAGTTGTAGCTGTAGCCGTACTTGTAGTTAATGTAGTGTAGTGTGATG